TCACCACATCCCTCCCTTCTCCAGGAAAAAACAGTCCCAGGATGGCTTGCACCCCCGGAGGCTGTCTCCCACCACTGGCCAGCGAGACACAGCAGCACCAAACAGCAACAGGCACCTTGTGCTCGGCACCGGAGGGCACTTACCGGCACGAAGGACACCCAGAAAACAAAGCACCTGGAAGCTCCTCATGGTGCAGACGAGGCAGCTCCACACTCCCCAGCCTGCCGAGTCCCGGGCTCAGCGAGTAGGGGCCAGGCCCGGTCTGCTTGTCCACGGCGATCAGTAGCCCGAGGCCAGGGTCGCTCCGCTTAGCGGTCCCGTTACCCCCACGCACTTCTGGGAGACGGCAGATGAAGGCTCCTGTTCAGCTCGCTGCAGTCCTGGAAAGGAACTGAAGCTGGGAGTGCAGCACACCTGGGACGGAGGCCGGGCCACGGCCACGGCCTCGGCAGCACCACCTGCTGGGGGAGAGCCGGGCCAGCGCCACACCGGTGCCCGGGGCAGTCGTGACACACGCTCCTTTCAGGGGTTTCTTTTTCTGAGCGCGGGAACCGCGAGAGCCCGTTGACTTTCAGGCAGCGCACACGTGGGCCTGGCCGCAGCCACGTCCCGCTACGCCTCTCCTTTGGGGCGCCCACGAGTCACCTGGGGCAGTGCCAGGAACAGAATAACGAACGCGATCACGTTAAAAATGAAAACAGCCAATACATCAACTTTACCTTAATACCACCTGATGTCTAAACAAGCTCTCCTGCTCCCTAATAGCTCTGGCAGCTCTGCCCTGAATCCTAGCCGGTTTACATCTCCTGAACTATGCACCTGGGCCCTGGGCAGTAACGGTCGTTGCACCTGGGCCAAACCCAAAGGTAATAACAGACCCTCTCCCCGCTACTTGGTGTTCTCCTCTGGACGACACCCTCCAAGGGTCACATAGCTCTGTAGGTTGCTGGGAGCTCAGGTTCAGCTGATTATTCCCCTGCCGTGACCCCGAGTCATTTTTATCATGGGTGCTTCTCAAGAATTGCCCCCCTGCTTCTGATTTACTGGGTGCCTGGAGCAAAGTTACTTCCCTGTTTCCAACTCAGCAGCTGCATAACCGAACTATAACTTACTGCCGCTCCCTGGCAGGGTGCCGAGAGGGGCTCTCGGTGGTTGTTTGTCAAGTGCTTTCTTATTTTTGGCTTGGGAGTGGCATTGCAATCAACTGGTGCAGATGGGCAGAGCATGCCGTGCAAGTTTTTGTTTCATTTTTGTGCTCCCCCCCAGTTCTCTCTTTCCAATCCCTTCCGACCCTAGCATCTATGAATCCAAGCGTTTATCCTCATGAATTTATGCTACTTTAATAGCCAAATGAAAGAGCAGCTGTCAGACATGCCATGCCCCCAAACACAGAATTACCCCTTCTCCCGACACCACCTGTCCCCCCACTCAACAGGAGCGGAGGCTGAAGCGCTGCTGGTCAGCATCCTCCTCCGGGACAAGGCAGCCACATCGCAGCGGGGTGCGTGCTAACAGTAACGCTCATCTGAGCGCGCAGGTGGCAGAAGCCCCTTTCCCCTGGAATCCCAGCCCTGCACCAGGGCTTGGCTCCCAGGGACCCCCCTCCCCGAAGGACAAGTCTCCCAGGACCCTGCCTCTATACAGATCTGTTCATAGCCAAAGTAACAGCCTCTCATTTCTGAGCATTTGCCTGCATACTGACAAAAAGGCCTTGGATGGTTCGACATAATTGCACTACCAAGTGAGATACACTATTGTGACACGCAATTAAGTCATGCCAAGGCCACACAAGGGCAATTCTCTACTCCTCCAACAGTGTATGTATATGTGCGTGCGTGTACGCATGCACACGTGAGTGGGAGTCCAACCTCAGTCCAGCATCTGCTGGCAGAGCCTGAAGAACACGGGCTCCAGCAGGGCGAGCAAGCTGCCAGGCATGTCCTGTGCACAGTCTGCCTTTCACGGGGGAGACGAAGCCAGGCTTTCTGCCAGAGGGACCGGCCACTCCTGACTCGACCGGAGGAGAAAAGGGCATCCTGAGAGCAGATCCGCGTCCCACGACCTCTCTGCAAAAGGAAGGCGGCGATTTCCTTGCCCTGCCACGGATGGTGAACAAAAGGGGTGCGTGGAGCCCGTGTGACAGACTGCCTCAAGCAGGCTGCTGGCCCAAGGTAAGGGTGCTCGCTGCTCACAGAAACGCTATGCTAAGTGGTAATGTGCTGAGTTCTCTACTTTATCTCTTGCCACGGATCTGCTATGACCCCTGCCCCTGGCACCACCACAGCTGCCAGCGTCACGCCAGGGAAAGGGAGGTTTTCAGGCTGGAGGCGGAAGAGAACCTTCTCCCCCAGCCTCCCCTTGGGAGCAGCGCCCCCGCGCCCAGGCAGCCAAGGCTGGGAGGTACGAGGGGCTGGCAGGAAAAGACCAAGCCGAAGGTGCGTGGCTCCTACCGTGGAAGGGAGCAGACTGGCTTCCAGCTTGGACTCTGCTTTCCGTAGGGCAGAACAGTCCTCACTGAGCTCCTGCCATTCATGTTATCCAACGCCTGCTGAGCACCAGGGGCAGTGGCCCCCCCAAAAGGAGGGTGGGATGTGGGCCTGGGAAGCGCCTCATCTGTGGCCCGCTCACAGCTGCACTGCACTGGGAAGCTGGAGGCACGCAGGTTCAAACTCCTCAAACAAAAGGGGCCTGACCTCAAGTCTCCATCTTCCCAGGTGAGTGCCCTGACCACTCAGCCGTCTTTGCTGGGATAGGACTCAGGCGCGTGGATACATAGCAACGTATGTGCACAGCATGCACGTACTTTATACACACAGGCTTACACACTCAGCGCATAAAGCAGAAGCCAAAAAACCATCCAGGGAGACGGCTACAAAATGGCCACTAGACACGCAGAAGGAAATGGACTTCCACCCCCAAACTAGCACCAGGCAAATGCTTACAACAGCAATTGCTGAAATACTCTTATCCTTTTATACAGGAGTGGGGAAGAGCATCGCACTCGAGTTCTCCCACCTCCGTAATTCCTTGCAAAACGGTAGCGTGGTTGGACTGCTGTAGCCGTGGTGGTCCAGGAAATGTGGTTTCAGGGTATCTTTTATTGGACCTACTGTAGAAAAACTTACCTTAAAGAAATAATCACAAAGATGGCTAGCTTTCCAGGAAAAAATATGTAACATAAAAAAATCTCCTTCTGAGTACTACACACACCCAGTTTGGGACACCACAAAAGGGTTTAGAAGCTGAGTTTAGAAGCCAGATCCTCTTAATGCATCTCAAATTGTGCACCCAACATCCATAGTTATTTTTCAATACTTTGATCCTCAGACAGAAGGCTTCAGAAAAATTAATGCATGTCTGGTTCATGTAATTAATATGCGGTATCAATTTGAGAATACTTTCTAGTGGCAGAAGCAGAAGAGCCCATAAAAATACAGAGCGGAGCGTGTATTCCCTGCCTTCACAGGGCAGCGCTCGGCTGGATCCTTTCCATCCCCACTGCACGCTGACGCGCCCTTCTCTCGCTGCACTCTGCAGCCACATTCTTCTTCTCTAATGCACGTGTAGCACAACTCTTCACCGTAAAAGTGATCTACATTTAATATAACTATATTAAACTTCAGATACCAGTTATCAAGGTTCTTCATCACATTGTTTCTCACATGTTCCTGCCAATTTGTTTGCAAAATTGATTTCTTAATTCTACTTCCTCTTTAGATTATTCAATTAAAGACACATTTGACAAGTATTTTGTACAATAAAGTTTATTAGCTGTTCTCCTCTTTCTGACAAACGGAATGGATGTCGTTGATAGCTCTTTACAAATCAAAGCTAATTTGGTGGAGAAACTGCACCGAGGCTGTCAGAAATACATCTCTCTTATACCTAACTCCAGATACGCAATGGGCAGCACTGAGCAGTGTTGGGACGGAAGTATTTTTCATGACTGATGTTAGTTCTACATTTTGCTAAAAGATATTTATAACTGCTCAGCACAGATGCCTGCACACCTCCAATGAGAGCAGCTATGGGACACAACACGGATGCAATCTGAGATAAACACATACATAAAAACTGACTCGTTTTCTCCAAATTCTCCCATTGGTTAAAAACATGCACATCATATTGGGGGGGAGGAGGGAGGCAGGAAGAAAAATCAAACATTTGAAACTTTGTAGAAAAGAGGAGAACTTGCCCATATTTTGTTTTGCTGCTAATATCCCTCAAATGTTTTACCCAGGTACCATACCCCGATTTCATTTTACATGATTACAGAACATAAATTCTAATTTAATCTTTATTCTCAAAACAAAAAGCTAGGAAGGAATAGGTGGTAAAAGAAAAATATATATTTAATATATATATTTATATATGTGTGTGTGTGTGTGTGTGTGTGTGTGTGTGTGTGTGTGTGTGTGTGTGTGTGTGTGTGTGTGTGTGTGTGTGTGTACACGCGCACGCAACTATGTGAAGAAAATAATTCCCATAGTTACAGAGTTTAGTTAAAGAAAGTTTAATATATATATTTTATTATAACAAAATAGGCAGTTATTGTGGGTAAAATATTCATTAAAATCTGACCCCCTAAGAACACACACAGTTCTAGGCTATGAATCTCACTTGTTGTCTCATTACCTTAACGATCACCCATCTCTGCAAACATTTCCTGTATTACTGACCATGAAAATTTGCCGCCCCTTTGTAAAATGCAAACTTCCCTAGCACCTAAAGATGTTTAGGACTCAAAAAAGTGTGATGACCATTATCTACAAACAACTTTTGTAAGACACTGCAAATAGTGTTGCATGAGCGAGATTAAAAACATTAAACATCTTTATCCCTAGCAATTTTATTGGCAAAAAATGAAAAAATAGATTATAAGAATATCCTTATGAAATTATGAAAATGAATATCCCTTACGAAGTAATGGAAGTTAATTAATAATTAACTGGGAAATTAAAAAAAAGTTTCTCATTAACTGCCCATAAAGAAAAATTTGCTATGACAATAAAAATCAACTCAGAAAATAAAACTGGAAATTAAATGCCTCGGCCAAACCATGCTATTAAAGTTAAGCGTGCAAAGTTGCTCACAATTTACAACATCGTTAAGTAAGACGACTTTCATTTGTTACGAAATCTTAAAAGAATGTATATAAAGCTTTTCTGAAAATCTCTGAAAGTTACTTTCCCTTAAACATTAAGGATTTTACCACATAATTTCCTACCCCCAACCCTTAATAGCTGGTCAGGCCATTCCACCTTCATGTTTGAAAAATGGCAAACCAACAACACGCAATTATACAAATTATTTAAACTAAAACAGACATCAAAATGTGATAGGTTATGGGAACTGCAGAATGTGATGGTAAGGAGTGGCCCATACTGCAAAGAGCTAGGGACATGCTCCTCTGGAAGGAGTGAAGAGTTGTCAAATACAATAGATGACATCTTTAGTTAGAAAATGAAAATAAAAAAATCTCTCTATTTTCATAATTTTTCCTTTGCTGGGACCCAGATGTAAGGACCGGACTGCTCTTCTATGATCTGTTTCACCTGGTTGTAGATTTCTTCCAGCGTGTCTCCTTGGACAATAGCTGCAAAATAAAATATCGAAGTCAGAAAGTTCCCTTGCTGGCTCTGCAAACAAAGTGAGAAGCTCTAAACTTCTTTGCCAGGGAAAATTCAGATCTTCAGTGACCTGCACCCCGGTGGGTGAGACAAACGGGCAGCACGCCACAGCAGCAGCAACACAAAGGTGGGCTTTCCAGTCATCCGGGCATTGCAGGAACTGAGGAGAGGCTCGTAGGGGCATGCTACAAACACTGCCCTGAGCTGTAACACCGCTGTGTGCTGCAAGCTTGAACCAGAAGTCTTGGCAGATGCTGGAGGATATACAGGCTGGCTGCTCCTACCTACCTCTCCAAGGTTTATACTTTCAGGAAATGTGCTTGTGGGGCACGAGCGGATTTGCTGTACGGAAGACCACAAATTACACATGCTCTGCACCCGCACGTGAGATAACTTGGGGGTATGTGGCTATTCTTCTACCTCGGGGATAATACTAGCAGAGAACCAATACCAAAGACTAAGCAATGCTAACTAACTAGAGGGAAAAAGACAAATTAGGATAATCTATTTCATAGACATCAGCGCTGGAAGGGACCTCAAAAGATCATCGAGTCCAGCCCCCCGCCCCAGGGGCAAGAAGTCAGCAGGGGTCAGAGGATCCCAGCAAGATACGCATCCAAACATTTTTTAAAGGAGTCCAGAGCAGGTGCCTGCACTGCCTCTGGAGAGAGTCTACTCCAGGCCTTGGGGGCTCGGACAGTAAAGAAGTTTTTCCTTATGTCCAGCCTGAAACGATCTTGGAGGAGTTTGTGACCGTTGGTCCTTGTCATCCCTTGGGGTGATCTGGTGAACAGATGTTCCCCCAGATCCCGATGTATCCCCCTTATATACTTATAGGCTGCCACCAAGTCCCCCCTGAGCCTGCGCTTTTCCAGGCAGAAGAGTCCCATGGCTCTCAGCCTCTCTTCATAAGGCCTATTCTCCTGCCCTATGATCGTGCACATGGCTCTTGTCTGGGCTCTCTCAAACTTCTCCACATCCGTCCTGAACTGTGGATGCAGTACTCCAGCTGCGGCCTCACCAAGGCTGAGTACAGCGGGAGGATGACATCCTGAGATTGACTTGAGAAGCATCTATGGATGCGAGCCAGGGTTGGTTTGCTTTACTGGCTGCATCATCGCATTGGTGGCTCACGTTGATGTATTCCTGTTTCCTGAACAGTGGACCTGACTATGACCAAAAGAAACCAAGAAGTCATAACTCATTGTGTTAGGAGTTCCCAATACACAGCAGCCTGAAATGTGGGTGCTTGTCATTTGTTGTAGAGGGTTAACTGTTCTGGTGCTGAGCTGGGAAAAAAGGAGGGTGGGGGGAAGTCAGAACTGTCTTGAGGGTTTGGGGGCTGAGAAGTCAGGTTGAGGAGGAGTGATGCATTGACAAGAGTGCGATTATGCAGAGGGCAGCACGCAGGGATGGGTAGGAGGAGAGAGGACCCAGGCCATGGCAGGAATGGGGAGTAAAGAGCATGGGATACAGCGGAAAGGGAAACAAAGGACCCACCAACTCCATGATAGTCCCTGAGTTGTTTCCCCAGTTCCTTGACTTATAGGACCCCATGCCAATGGCT